ACGCATTCACTGCCAAGGGCCGCTTATTTATATTAGTCCGTGTAACTGACGATGTGTGGAGATCTGGCCCGGATAGTCGCTGTTTTAAAAACCACAGGCGATGGTGCTATCCAGTAAGATCATTTGCCTCCTTTGATTCACATTCGATATTTTTTACTATAAATCCCTGTAAACCATGCTGAATTTTCAAAATCAGGTAGTTTTCTACATACTTTATCTCTGAAACAAAATCGGTAACCCCCATTTTTTTTTTTGCATTTCTGACACAAGTAACTCATTATCTGACTGCTCTAAAAATTAAGAAACAATCTATCCACTGGAAAATTTTCGTGCGAACGTCCTAAAATACGGCGTTACGTGTGTAATGTGAAACTGGGGAAAAGTAACATAACGACATATCACGTGACCTCCTGACTACAGAGGTCATTCGAGTTGTTTATTCAGTGTTCGGGGACTGATTTATTTACTCGTGAGTCGACACGAGGCATATGGATATGAGAAACTAATTTACTACGGTTTGAAGCGTATATTCTATCATATTTTTAAAGGACTCTCGACTGAGCAAGACGATGAAAACAGCCAGTACTGAGTGTGGCACTCAGTGTCTCATCTCAAATATAAACATTGTCGACCTTGTCGAATTTTATGGCCGTTTATGCTCGCTGNTTGAAACTTTATTTTTTATTCGCGTCGGCAGTCTTTCGATGTTTATCGATTGATATTGCATTAAAAGGCCTTTTTCTTCAACGCTGTGTAGTTTTCTCATTAATTTGCGTTGCGATAGTGATTTCTGAATCGTTTTTTGCGGGGGCTTATTTTCGGCCTGATTTTGCTGCTATAAGACGGAAAAAACATCTACTTGGGAGATAAAAATCGGCCGATTTTATTTTTTAGCCGGAAATCATCGGTCGTTTCTTAGGCGCAGGGCCTCTTAAATGATTACTTAAAAAATTACTTATATGAATGCCTCTTATGATTATTTTCTTTAATTTGTGCGGATTTATTTACCTGTACTTGCAGTCCAAGTTGCTGACCATTTGATTTTTAAAAGGGGGTGTGACTAATTACGGAAAAATTCTTCCACAAGAAAATTAGGAGAAGGAAATCTTATACAAATTAGCACGGGAAAGTGGTAGAGAAAGTAGTAAACAAAACAATTACTCCTGAGTCGACATGAGGCATATGGATATGAAAAACTAACTTACTACGGTTTGAAGCGTATATTCTCGGCTTTTAAAGGACTCTCGACTGAGCAAGACGATGAAAACGGCCAGGACTGTGTGTGCCACTCAGTGAATCATCTCAAATATAAACATTGTCGACCTTGTCGAATTTTATGGCCGTTTATGCTCGCTGTTTTACTGGAAATATTTTACAGAACAGCTCACAAGGACACTGGGAAGTTAAAATCGTTTTTATAGCAGCAGAAGGAACTTAAGTAACGGTGAGTCGTTGTTTCCTGTTTTAAACCGTTGACTTCCAAAGAATAACCTTGTGATATGCATAAAATTGAACTCGCTTACATGCCGTAACATTTTATTTTGCTGACGGAGAACATTTTAATTCCCAGAGCTATAACTTTTTGGGTGAAAAAAACAATAAGCAAGGTTTCCTAAAATGTAGATATTTTGACCAAATGATATATACCAGAGGCCATTTATACTAGTCAAAGTTGGCCTTTATTTGTTACTTGTCAAGAGACACAAATGGCGGCTGTACAAATACCCTTCGTTAAAAGCTACAAACAAAACTTCAAGAAACTTATTACACGATTTTAAAGTATAAGAATGAAATAATATTTTTGCCAAGTTTTGTTTTCATACGATCGTTTTTACGCCCCCGCTGTTTTCGTAAATAAGCGTAAAATTGTGAACATTTTAAGCCGCGAAAACCGCCATTATATGCAAATTTCGAACTTTCTTAAATTTTGGCCGTAAAATAAATCGTTGAAACTTTAAACTACTTTGCCATGAATAAGTTCACCCAGAGGTACGTTTTGGCGAAATAAAAGAAAAATCGATTTTTCGTGACTGTCTTCCGATTCTCGACACTCTCAGAAAAGGTGATGGACAAAACACTGACCCCCAGTCCATGGACTACCCAAATGGACTACCCCAAAATGGAGTAACCTTCAAAATAATATTCCAAATAAGTACTATTTATTGCTCTTAGCTGCTAGTATGCTTAAATTACACATAACTTCCGCTTATGATCATCCTGTACAGCCTCTAACCACCAACACAGCGGTCAAACGTCTGCNAAATGTAGATATTTTGACCAAATGATATATACCAGAGGCCATTTATACTAGTCAAAGTTGGCCTTTATTTGTTCCTTGCCAAGAGACACAAATGGCGACTGTACAAATACCCTTCGTTACAAAGCTACAAACAAAACTTCAAGAAACTTATCACGAGTATAAGAATGAAATAATATTTGTGCCAAGTTTTGTTTTCATAGGACTGTTTTTACGCCCCGCTGTTTTCTTAAAGAAGCGTGAAATTCTGAACATTTTAAGCCGCGAAAACCGCCATGATATGCAAATTTCGAACTTTCTCAAATTTTGGCCGTAAAGTAAATCGTTGGAACTTTAAACCATTTTTCCATGAATAAGTTCATCCAAGGGTATGTTTTGGCGAAATAAAAGAAAAATCGATTTTTCGTGACTGTCTTCCTATTCTCGACACTCTCAGAAAATCACTCTTAATGCGTGAGCTTACAACATGTAGTAGAGACTGGCCCGCGATCAGAAATACAAAAACACCAATCTCTTTTAAGGCCTACTCGAAAACTTGCACGCCATTTAGCAAAAACAGCCCTGGCAAACGATACACATAATGAAGGAATACGTGTCTTTAGGATGTAGGTGACTTTGGAAGACTAACAACATGTAAACTGGCTCTAAACGGGAAGACAAGTACTTGAGTTAATGATAGGATATACGAAAATCAACGAGCATACAGTTTTCAAATTCGTAATAAAAAGAATATTTTTAAAACTGAAACAGTCTAATGTGGAAGTTACCTGAGTACTTACTGCTACCCAGTTGAAAACCCACTTCATCAGATTATAACAAGATACGGATGTCTTAGTGAACTCTCTGAAAAATGTAATATTGTCTAGTGAGGCCGACATATGTTTTACTTCGTTTCCACAGACGGTGTCTAGAAATCACATCACTGTTTCGTCGATCAATATCACTCCGCTCGGTCCTTTAAAATTTCAACTTTCATCAATAGGAAGCAGTTTAGTTTTCCAAGTAACAGCTACGTAATCTGATTGAGCTTAGAGATGACTATGAATCTCTGATTCTCAACTGCTCAAAGCTAACTTAGGCGAATACAGGATTAGAATACGGACTGTTTAACTTTAGTCATGATGCCAGCTCAATAGGAATCCTACGATGTTTCTGATTGGCTTTACATCACGTGACAAGCCTCAGACTGCATTCCTCCTCTTGGTGAACCTCCCGAAAGGGAAGGTATCATGACTACGTCCTAAGATGAAAAACAGTGAAAAATGCCACAGGTTAAGCGATGTTCATTTGAAAAAGAAACACTTTAGGTACGAGATTGGCAGAGGGGTTTAGCGAGAGAGAAAGAGAGAGAGAGGTGCGAAAATGAAGTATATCACCTGAGAGATGGCAAAGAAAAGAAAGTAGGCTATTTATCCTATACGATCCTTATTTACATTTATGCTACTCAGGTCTATTGTATTCTCCCTGTGGAGACTCAAAAAGAGAAACCAAACGGGTATATGTTAAGCACTTAATCCGGGTATATGTTAAGTACTTCATCGGTATAAAATCAAATTGGCTTACAAACAAATATAGAGAAACTGTTTGTTTCTCTTTCAAGCTATTTTGATTTCTCTCCTCTCTTTCTTTCTCTCTTTCCTTCTTTTTTTCTAATTCTCACCCCTGGATGAACGAGTACGTCATTTGCTCCTTCTGCACCGTTGCGATAGGTGTTGGTGTGTCCATTGGGCCAACGAACCTGCGCATGGGTAAAAACGTTTCAAACTTTTCAGACCAAGCAGGGAATGAATTTAAGTTTCAAATCTTGGAAATGTCTGAAACTGACAACTTATGTAACTGGTTTAAGACTGCGATAAGGTATAGCCTGTTTTCACAACCCTCAACAACTACAATTACCTCTACGACTCCACCCTTAGCACTAAAGACGCGACCAATGTTTCCGGCTCCACCGTCCTGGTTTCCCCATTTCCAGTCCGGTCCTAAAAGTTCAAAAAGTATAATAAATAGACTTACTAGGAGAGTTGTTACTGGCAGGAAGGTAGTCTTTATAAGCATTGATGTCACTTAATCTAGTCAGATTTAGACTTTTCTAAAGGTCCGTCATATGTATGACTTATTTTTAACTACTAAGTGACATGTGAGAGCTATGAAATATAGTGATACAGCTGACAAATTTTCAAGAATTAAACATTCAACCGGAGATACCAGCATCCCCTCCAGACCATCTTGTTTTGGATTTCGTTCCGGCCGATTGCTAATAAGTCATTTTTCGATGCTGTTTCGATGACAATTTAGTTACTTTCGACAGTTGATGAGTAAGCCCCCGTTCATACGTCGCATTTGGCCTAAGTTGGGAGAATTCTAACCTCTGATCACACGACATCCCACTTGAACTCCCTCCAGAAGTAGCACGCGTCTGTTTTCATCAACAACCTACAATTTGACAGTGTTATTGCCCGCGTGCCAATTAAAAACACTTTGGCAGTGAGAAATCTGTCTTACCTTAACATCAAAAGCAGAATCTTTTCCGTAACGGTAGGAGTTTTTATTCCCGTTATCCCATTCAACATCCACCCAACCTGAAAATATTCGTGATGCAATCAGAGTTCAATATTACTTGGCCTGGCCTTGGATCATGGACCGGGTTGATTCTACGTTTGGGACGAACCCCAGCAGATACAGCCGTTTTGAGTATACAATAACTTGCCAAGAATGATAGACGCGATAGATAGAGCTTAAGTCTCCACCTCAGATCACTAGAATAAAGTAGAAGTATTTAAAAAAGCATTGCCGATGGCGGAACTGACCTGGTGTACCATCTGTTTTTACGATGGTACCAGCTCTTCCCCCATCTTGACTTCCCCATTTCCAGTGTGCTCCCCTCCGAACACGTGACCCCACCGGAGGAGGTTTGGGGTAATTCTGATGGAGTTCAATGACACAAATAATCATTAGTTTCTATGCGGCAATTGAAAAGTATTACATAATTATCTTTGTACCAGTAGCAATGAGGTTTTGCATCCATTGGCATTGCTTGCCACCCAGTGGTGGGACACGCTGAAATTATTTTCTTGTTGAGTCTTTTCCTATAGGACAATGTGACGGCTTGAAATGATGATGCATAAAAACCAATAAGTATTCAGAAAAAAATGACAGAATTTGAGATAAAAAAAGGCAACATATAAAAGCAGTCCTCTAATGCTGGCAAATTTGCAACATTATTTTGAAAATAGTTTTATGCATATAAAACTGCATTGGACCCTATATTTCTTCATATACAGCGAAACCGGTATTAAGTGGACCCCATATTAAGCGGACACCTTCTATTAAGTGGACACCAGCTTGAGTCTCCCCACATTTACTGTAGAATAAACCTGCATTCAGCGAACACCTCTGTTAAGTGGACGCCGACACCAATATTAAGCCATTTTGTTGCACAAACCTACAATAAGTTAAGCGCGGACACTTAAAGGACTTTTTACTTTTACTTCTAAAAGTTCAGCTCAGATTCCTTTAAAATTGTTCAGCGATGTTTTAAAGCCAAGGGGATTATTCCAAATTGAGGCATTGACTGACTGGACATAGTGCTATGAGTAGTCTTTGATCTTACGCTTTGTTACACAAAAGGGTTAATAATTAACTATCATTGCACAATGTATTAGAGCCTATTTAGAACGGACACTAGTGAGGGTCCCAAGGGTGTGCGCTTAATGCAGGATTCACTGTCGCAACTCGCAGTAATTCAAAAGCTCGCACTTGTAGATTTTTATCTTACCTCGTCATAAGAATTCGCCTAAATACCACTGAAATACACAGGGATACCACACACTAAAATGTATCTAGACATTAATCATAAAAGCGTCAGATTACTCCAGGCAGTTACACTCACCCCATCGTTATCGTCATCATCATCATCATCATCAGCGACTAACATTGCCAAGAGCAGCGCCATGAGAGGACGCTACAACAAAAATAAAAGGAAACAATCCAAAAATAACATAAACAACAAAAAACAAACAAAATGGGCCAATTTCAACTAAAGCGTATTATGCGTAATGCGTGCCTACAATGTACGTGCTGTCCAATCTAAACATTATTGGTTATATGATATAGAACCGTGCTGTCCCCTTAGGAAATCTGAGCGTTTATGAATGCTTCATTTATAAAATCTCAAAACTGGACTGCATTTGGTCATATCAGGTGTTTAATTGCGCGCGAAAATGATAAAAAAATATTCGTTAATTTGAACACGTACGTAATAGCAAGTGAATCTACAGAAATTGAAATTGTGTGCATAGTTGCCGAAACGGCTTTATCAACACATACCACCTAGGATACACACTGATGTTCATTTAAAACGGATTTACAAATGCCACGTGTAGGACTAATATATATATTTACGAAAATCGCACTCAGTAACTCTTGAGTTCAAGAACGGGCCTGGTGGGGCGGGGGTTGGGCGGTGGGAGAGGGGGAGGGGTGGAATCGAGATTATCTCAGTGGAATAAGTGGCATAGTACAGATATTTTTTCATAAGCAGAGGTAGAAATAAACTGAAGTACTAAACCTTTTGGCTAACCAGAATATAAATAACTTGTCAATGGCTATATGCATTTTAATATGTGGCAGGTTAGACTGACTTTTTTGAGTTTTTCCGCGTTGTAGTCACACCTCCTGTTTAAACTAAACTCAAAAGTGACTCTGTGGGCTCGAGTAGGCAAGGGACAGAGCTGCGAGAATGCGACAAGGGAAGCAAACACTTCATTTTTTTTATCTATGTAAAGACTGAGGGGAAAAAAGAACACTGGTTTTAATAACGAGAGATGTTTTCCAATTGTCCCTAATGCAAATTTTCAATGTCAACTTACTTTGATAAACCAGTTCCAAGTAGTACATTACTACAGTTGTCGGTGTTGACGGTTTTTTGAAATTCGATATCCTTTTTTAGTATTTAACCCAATATGCAAATTTTTTTTTAAATAAGAATGTTCTTTAAAGATTTAAAGAAAATACGTGCTAAGGGCTTTAGGATTAAGAAATTGTATCCACGATCTCTCTGTTAATACATCAAAACCCGTTTAACGGAGGAAAGTTCTGAGCCAGTGGGTGGGCCCAATAGCCCTAGCCTTTCTTTCCAGTATTCAAGTAATTGATCTTCAATATTTGATTTATTTTTTTAAAATAAAAGAAGGATTGCTGTTTTTGATGTTATTTAGATGAAATTACGTGTTTATGGATGTAACTGCTTAAAAAAAAAACATCAAAGAATTTTAAGACATGTTTTTGTAAAATAAGATAAAAATAAAATCGTATTATATCCTCCCTTTTTTATAACGCTAAGGCTCTGCATGGAGCAGAGTTATCTGCATTCGACTGTTTTATTTGGGTCGTCCTCTAGCAAGACCACCGTTGTTAGGTTACTGCTTGATTTTAACATCTTTCGCAACTAAGGTCAGGACTCATTCGGAGTAATTTTATATTTAGGTGTAAGTATTTTCAATTAGCACTTCTTTATTAATTTTTGTTGTATTAGTTTTGATTAACACGGACCCTCAAGCATAGAGTCGTGCGAAAATAAAGAATTCATATTGATCTAGCTATGTATTACTGGTTTCCAGAGAATTCAGCCATTCAGGGCTTTATTGCTTTAGCGTTTAGGAATTTGGGGATTTAGAAATAATATCCACAATATAAACGTTTTTGTTTTTTTGTTTTGTTTTGTTATTTATTTATTTTTTTAAAGAATGAATTAAACAAATCCCTTTATGTCATTCCACGTTTCTATTGCTGCCAAATCCCGGTTACTTCTTGCAAACTAAACTTACCGACAAAGTTGATAAATCTCGATTTCGAACTGTATCCCATTTGTTAGCCCCCAGTTGACCTGCACCACTTTAAAACCTCTATTTTGATTTGTTCTTGTTAATCAGCACTTTTTTTGTTGTTAGGACCAGGGGCTTTGTTTCTGTCGTTGACCTATTGTTTTATTTGGCCAATTATAAACCTTGTAAACGGTTCAGGCCACCCCAGTGTGTGTGTTAAAGAGGTTTCGGGAGCTTAGTGGGAGGTAACATCTGTTTAATTATTTTACTTTTGTCTCTGAGATTTTGTTGTTGTTTTTGTGATAAATCAACTGGACATCTGCAACGAATATAATGTTTTTTGAATGGTGATCCAGACTCAGGCGCTTACAGGCAGAATCAAAGTTATATATTACGATTTTCATAAACAAACTGCTGCCTGATGCCGTAAGATTTTTCTAGGGTGTCTGGCGCAAGCCGTTTCATCCTACTGTATAAGTTGTCATGGGCCCTTGAGATCGGTTAACCCGGCGCGAGTTAGGAAAAGCTACCTTTGAATGTGTAAGGCAATTTTCGGCCAGTGCTGTTGTCATTACGTATTTTGTTTGAACAAACTATCTCGAAGATCTACCCTAGTGTAACAATTTCGTTCTGTAGGTATATAGTTAAGAATGTCTTTCTCAACGATGTATAGCTCCCGAACTATTTGCATTTGCAGTGAATTACATTGAAGTCGAGGCAAAATGAGTGTAACATCCACGTGTGGATAAACAAACCTTGTTTTGAAAAGGAATACGTTTCTCAAGCCGTTGTTATCTTTCTAAACCAAGCTTTCACGCCTGCTAATTAGAAGTAAGCAAATAGAGAAATTTCTAATGATGACACTTTTCACGGGCTTTAAGTGGAATCTGGCTCTTATTTCTTACTCGAGGGCTTTAATTTGTACCAAGAACAGGCCTGGTTGTTCAAAAGAGTCTAAGTAAACCTTGTGTTGGGCCAAGGTTGAAGTAATCCGAGCGAGGCGAGACTTCTTAACCATAGGTTTGTTGAGCCGAGGGTTAAAGGAGTTAAACTCTGGGGAAACATCCCACAATTCTTCATTTTGTCTTAAAGCACCGAAATGCCTTCCTTTACGGTCAAATCACGCAAGTAGGGGAAAAAGCACAATTTTAGTGCATAAAAAGATGTTCCATTTATGTTTTTTATGCGTCTGCCCTCTTATTGATGATAAATTGCGTCATAACACTGTCAAAGTGGCGAGCCGCAGGCGAGTGGTTCCGCAGTTTTTTTGTTTTTTGTTTTCATAATCCAGCTCATTTAATTTTTCCTATATTTGCTCTTATTCAATCTTATTAGAAGACCCTTCTGTAAGCAACTTCGTGAAGTAGGCCTCCTCATTGAAGATTATTTAATGTTATCATTTCAACAACAACTGCAAAACTAAAGCGTTGTTAAATTTGATTAATCATATTTTAAACAACCTTGTTCAGATTCGTAGCATCTACAATTTACAGGATTGAAAAAAATGATTGTGTTGTTGAGGACATTCATTTCACATGAATTCAGTTTATAATTATAATCTACCTCAGTAAAGCCTTTTTTCTTTATTATTATTATTATTATTATTATTATTATTATAATTATTATTATTGCTATTATTATTATTTTTTTAGTAAAGTAAAGCCTTTGGCAAAAGGCGTTGAAACTTACAAAAAATACAAATGATTTCATATATGGCCATTGGCAAGAAATACCATGGAAGTTTAAAGATCTAAATCAGTTTGCTTTCTCCAAAAGTGTTAAAAATTATGTTCTATCTCAACAATATCAAACGTAAGTTTCCAAATTCCAAAAGTGTTAAAAACTATGTTCTATCTCAGCAACATCGAACGTAAGTTTCCGCTATTCTTCTAGCTCTTTCCTCTAGTAATCCGTCCTTCTACTCCCATGTATTTTATGTTTACTCAAACGAGATGGAGGCTAACTCGATAACCTCGCGGTTCTGCAGGCCTCCATGCACAAACCATATACCATAATGACCTTTAATTGTTATCAGGAGCCATAATCGGGGACGGAGACCGTAAGTCTTGGGATTCGCGCGCACCTATGATATGGGACAATTTTTCTATTTTTAGAACAAATTGCGCCATCCTGACGTCATATATCCGCACGGATTCACGCACATGTCCGGGGCTCTCGCGTGGATGTTGTCACGTTGCGTGATCAAATGGTGAGAGTTGAGAGATTCTCTTGCGTATTTTTCACAGCG